TCTGGGCAGAGGCAACATTGACAGTGACCTGTTTCTGGACTGAACACATCTACACATCTACTGCTACATCTGTTCTTTTTCTTTTCCCGTTTACAACCATTTTTTGTGCAATATATGCCAGGGACCCGTGCATTACATTTATATTTATATTTATATCTATATTTACATCTATATATTCATATGTGCAATACGATTTTTCTGCGTACTGTTCTGTTCTAGTTTGTTCTTTGTATGTCCTGGACTGTGAGTAACTCTTTTAGTGTACCCCTCACTGTACTGATTGTACTGTATGTATTGTATTATTATTATTGTATCATTCGTTACACTGTGGCTGTGTTGTCTGTGTTAAGCTGCTGTTGCACTGCAATTTCCCTCACGGGATCAATAAAGTATCTATCTATCTAAACCTTTACTTGTGCCATATTCTAACAGTCTCCAAATTGGATAAAAAGGAGTAGACGTCTGCAACTGTCTACAGAGGGCAGTAACCGGACACACTATTACCTTTTATTTTATACGTTTATGAGGAGGACATATCCTGAGAAAAGCTTTAGCAATGACTATACACAAAGCTCAAGTTTGCATCTGAAACTATATGACATTCTAATATTCTGCATTTATCTCTTTGTTTTACTTACACCCATGTGACTACTGGTGTAATCCATGATAATTTCTTCTGCCTGGTAGAAGACACAGATAATAAAAGAAGCAAGGGAGATATAAAGGCAGAGAATGAGAGAAACAGAGATAGGGTCAGCCATGTCATTGGCCTGTTTGACTGTTCAAAGTTAAATTCTTAAGAGCAGAAACAGATGTGTAATTGGACAACAGTACATAGACAACAAAACCTGGAATGTATACTATACGGTGAACTTGAACTTGTACTTGACCTTTATTGCCATATGTAACCGGTACATGTACTGGTACAATGGAATTCTTACTTACAGAAAGTCTCTCGATTGTTAAAACAAGTGCAAAAACACAAAGTGCAGACAGTGCATCAAGATAATATACAAATAAACATTGGACAATGTACAAGTAAACAAATAAACAGTTTGAATGTAAACAATGCAGACATGTAAATAATGACTGGAGATGTGCAATAAATAAGAAATTATAATGAGGAAGATGGTACAGGTGTGGTCCAAGGGGCATGGCTAAATGTGTTCGCCAATCACACTGCTTGTAGATAGAAGCTATTGAGGAAGCTGGTGGTACAAGTAAGTGTCCATATGCTTTTGTATCTCCTGCCTGAGGGCAGTGGGGTGAAGAGCTCATACCCGGGGTGGTGACTGTCCTCTACCATGGCAGTGGTCCTCATAGAGCTGTTTAATCTCAGTGAAACAAAAGCCAATGATCTTCTGGGCCATATTGACAATTCTCTGCACTGCCTTTCTTTCTCGAGAAGAGGTGTTACCACTGTGACAGTATACAGTATGCCGTAACAGTATACAGTCAGAGGGAGAGAAAGAGAGGTTTAGTTAAGAGTTTGTTATTTTTTAGTTCATTTTATTTTGCTCCAATATTGTAATTCTCTAAATTTGCACAGTGAAATCAATGTAGCTTTCTTTTTTCTCTTTCCATACATTTTCCTCCTTTTTCTCATTCTCTCAAATAAAACAGTTTACAACCTTTGATCTTTACATACTAAACATTCTCACAACGCTATATATAAGATAGCAAAAACATTTCACTGATGATATGTGGGGGAGAAGAGAAAGCTTAGCTAACCTTGCAGACACGACAGATACAATTGCCAATATTTCCAGAGTAATGTTAACAAACAATTTGACACCCACAACATATAGACAAACTGCAAATACACACAATGAGAAAGTGTAAGAATCAAGAAATTGGCAATTTCAATATCCTAAATTTATCCGATTTTAATGCCCAGTTAGATGAAGCCCTTGTGAGCTGTGAACTGCTCTAGTTTGAAAGAACCCATGACTTATTCCTTTCCAAGAAGCTGTAATACTGTGAATATGCCATCATGTATGTATCAATTTATGTATGTGTTTTGAGAAAATACTATCATTCCAATAACACTTCATTGTGCTTTTGAGAGAGTTACACAACCCTAGTTTATTATAAAAATAAAGGATGACTGCTGTCTTCCTTTCCTTCCGTCTTCCTTTCTGCGTTTGTATTTATGTTGGGCTCTACAGGTGGTTGAATGTTTACTCTTTATTATGGTTAAAATGATTACGAGTTTAAACAATCAGAAACTCCTTTGATTCTTGATGTTTGCAATGTTGAGAAAAAGTTTGTGAATCCTTTAGGATTTTCAAGTATTTTGCATGTTTGAAATGTAAAGTGTTTTTAGGTCTGTCTTAATAGCAGATAAAGTTAATTTGGTGAAACAAATGACACAAGACATGATACTCTTTCAACACTTATCGATCCTCAAATGATGCAACTTTTAATATACATGTGTGATAAAATATGCAAGCCTTTAGATTCAGTAACTGGTGGCACCGCTTTGAGCAGCAAGGACTTTAATAAATGTTTCATGTAACCAATGGTCAATCTCTCATGTCTGTTTTGAGGAATTTCAGACCAAACTTCCTTATAGAACTCCTTCAACTCTGTGACATTTGAGGACTGATTTGCATGAACAGCTTGCTTCAGGTCCTGCCACAACATCTGAATGGGACAGAGGTTTGGACTTTGACTTGGCCTTTGTAAACCATGGAATTGATTGTTCTGCGGCCATTGTTTTGTAGATCTGCTTGTATGTTTAGCATCATTGTCTTGCTGCAAGACTCACGTTCGGTTCAGCTTGAAGTCATGAACAGATGGTCTGACATTCTCCTTTAGAGTATTCTGATACAATGCCGAATTTATTGTTGTGACAATGATGGCAAGCTGTTCAGTTTACAAGGCAACAACAGGCTCAAACCATCACATTACTACCACGCTGTTTAATACTTAGGATGATATTCTTCTGTTTGTAAGCAGTGCCTGAAGTGTTTGGTTTTCACATTTCAGTGTTTTGACATTTCTCGTTGATGCCAAAGATTTTTACCTTTAACTTGTCTGTCCAGAGAACATTGTTGCAGAAGCCTTCTGATCATTGACGTGCTCTTTTTGTAGCGCGGTGGTTTTCTCTTTCCTACCATTCGATGAACACCCCCCTTTTTGTTCAGTCATTTTCTGATAGTTGAGTCATTAATAGTCACACTATACAGACAAGACTGATCCAACCTGCAGTTCCTTGGATTTTTTCTGGGGTTCTTTGTAACTTCTTTAATAATTTTCCAGTTTGTTAGAGAGATTTTGGTAGGACAACCACCCCTGGGTAGAGATTTGTCTGACAATGGTGGAGAACTGGATCCTTAGAAATGGTTTTGTAACCCTTTTTCGGACTGATGATCATCAGTAACTTTTTTTTAACTTCCTCAGAGATTTCCCACACCCATGTATTTGATTCTTATGTTTATGCAAACTCAATCTTCAAAATCTACCTAATTATTTAAACGCATTATTTCCTTTAGTTAGATTGAATGGAACTGGGGGTTCTGTTCACTTTCTTTTTCACAACTTCTCTACCTTCATTACTCAGATTTTGTTTAATTCATACATTATATTGTTTCAAGAGACTTGAGATTGGTTACTAAAAACACTACTTATTTTTGGGGTTCTCATACTCTCTTAGCTCAGTACTTGAGCTCACTATGGGCGCTGGAGGAAGCATGAAAGTAAAATGTATTTTTTGAATGCCCATATTGTTATGAGCACAGCCGGCATCAATTAATCCTCATTATTCAATCTCCTCTTCCTTCACAATTTAAACCCTCCGTTCACTCCTGGTCCTCGCTCAGTAGGAATCTATCCGCCTCCTGAGCTTGCATCGTCCTCAAACCTGTGACCACCGACACGAAGAACCATCTTGCTTTGGACCTTTCGACTACCCTCTCGTCTTGCCCCTTTATGGATTTGTTTGCCTCGCTGATCTCTCAACCCGGATTCGACTGTAACACATATGAAGTAGAGAGAGGTTAATAGCATTGGGAATGACTATCAAAGTCTAGATGTTCTAGAGAACTGGTTTAGCAATGGAAATGGTGATCACTGTGACCCAAAAAGACCTCCCCCTCCTGGCAAGTAAGTAAAATGGGAACGTATAACAACCCTTGTGGCTAGACCCATGGTGGACCCATGGGCGCTCTAAAGATTAGTGAAAGGATTCATCTGAAAGTAGAAGAGTCTCCTGTGTCATAGGCTAACTTGTGATGTGCAGCATCTGCATCAAGACTTCTGTAAGTTCACAAACCAACTTGGCAAATACTGTCAAGAAATCTTTCTTTTGTAGCATTGTGAAAACCCAGCGTCTACTCTGCTGTATAACTTTTAGTTCATTACACATTTAATAAAATAGAGCAGTGGTTTTCCAAACTAAGGTCTCTAGAACCTTAGACTTGGGGGTCTAAAGAGTTCTCTGCTCAAATTATACAACTTGAAATATCTCATATGTGTTTGCTGTAATCTCTATTACCCTGATGTTTGAAGTGTAAAGCATTTACTACTACCTACAACAACAAAGTGTTCTAAATAAATTTGAGAATAAAATTAATTAAATATAAACATGTTACATATTAAGCTTGTTACAGTAAAATAATAAAAACGTTTAAATTAAGAGTGGGCTAAGGGTTCTTACAACAAATATTGTAGTTGAACAGCTTTTGCATGTTTTAGAAATAATTTTTCTTCATGGGTTCTAAAACTGAACACAATAAGGACAATACAATTGTGTCACATTAAGATAAAAAAACAGCAAAGAATTCAAGTGGTAACAACACGAAGGAAAAGGTTTCAATAAAATCGGAGAAAAAAAGATGGTTTACGTCAAAATTCCACTTCTAACTTGCTTAAATTCAGCTTTTTAAATGAAGTGATGTCACATCTGTGGGCTGTCTGACACGGTGACGTCACCAGCCTGTAACCCGAAACCTAGTGGGGGAGGGTGGAGGAGTTGAGAATTAGTGGCTCTGTTGTGGTAGAGGGCAGGTAGTGATACTTGTTTTGTGTCATTGTGGCAGCTGCAGAACGCTGTTGTTACTTTTATATGCATATTAAACTGTTATTTTCAAGAGCGTGTGCAGTTTAGCTAGGCTGCAATAGGTTTGTACGACTCCATGTAACAGGCTCTATTAGACACAAAACGTAATGCGCAGCGTAGCGGAATCTCGTTAAAAGCCGAAGAAAAGCCCTCTCCGTGTCGACTTGTGTGGGATGTGGAGTAACAGATTCCCCAAGACAAAGGTTTGATTTCACAGGGAAAAAACGGGGCTTCGAGACACAGGCCCTGACAGGGAAAACTGTCCTAGCTTGAAGGATAGGGAGCGAGCAAACATTTTTTGTGTTGCCTGTGAATAAGGACACAACTGTCTTCTGACTGGTGTCGGCATTGCTTGCACAAGTATTTTTTTTTTAATTTGAACAAAAATGGGACTTATTTTTGCAAAACTGTGGAGTTTCTTTTGTAATCAAGGTGGGTTGTATTTCTGCGATTTCCCTCGCGTTTCTTAACGCATCGAAGTTTTAAAACGCATTAAGTAGTCGTTTGAAATGTTTCCCGATACGGTTTTCAGTGCATTTTCTTGTCACATGCAGTTGTTTTCTTGTGGTCGAGCGATGGATTGCAAGAGCTTTCATAAGCTTAGTTTACTCTTGAAGAGTGATTGCTGTACTGACGGAGTGAATCTAGAACTCGTGAGTTCTACATTTTCTAAATGGGTTGAATCTAGAACTACTAATGTTGGGACTGATTCAACTTTCGAGTGACTTTAATTGTAGATTTCAATAACACATACAGTATCTTTCTTTTAATCGGCTATCTTCAGATTATAGTTTATTATTAATACAGAATATAGATCGTATGTTGAATGATAACTGGGAATAATGTAAGGATCTTTTGTTTCACATTTCTTTGTTAGATTATTCTGTACAGTTTCACTTTTCCTGTTTACAGTGGAACTTTTGGCCTCCTGTACTCTATATAGAATTTTGTCCGGCGGTTAAGATTCTTAAAACTCAAAAGGTGAAATCTGATAATATAGTCTTGGTAAACAACAGAACGAATTGTCTCAATTCCAAGATAAACTTTGAAAATAAGTTCAGTGTAAGGCACCAATACCAGTAGTCCTTGTCGTGAACGTGGTCCTCCGTCCCGTATCAAAGACCATCTTTTTGACCTTGCTACAGGTCGGTGAAGTGTTATTGATTCCCTAAAATGAGATAGCTGAGAGGGTCTTGGACATCTACAACGCACGCTGTTTATAAATATTGAAATCAGTAGGACTGTTCAGCATTATTTTCGAAATACATAAACGCTGCTAATGCTGAGTGTGCAGAATAAACTTAACATTGGGTTGTGCTGCCTAAGAAACCTGATCCTGTTTTTGCACTGTGCACGCTTTCTGTCAAAGGAAAAATACATTTTCCGCCTGTAGAAGTGGAAAACTACAACCAGCAGGTGCAATTGTCTCATAGACAGTTAGAAACACTTATGTCCATTCCGAAACTGAGTGTACGTTAATGGAGTGAAACTGAAAATTGTTTTGGACTTACCATTTTAAAGGGGAAAAACCAAACGTTTCTCTGTAACCTGGTATAGATGAAACTAAAGGCTTATGGCATGGTTTTTAAAAGCAGTGTGAGTAGTGGCACAACTTTCATACTCTACACCAAATGTAAGTATGATATATTAAATGTTTGTATGGTTATGTTGCTTATAGCATATCTCTGTTGAGCAAGAAAAATGTACTAAAGAGATCATTGTAAATAAGGCTTTGTGAGCGGCTTCATCGGATATTTTATAACTTGTGTGAACACCCCGAACACAACTTTTTACTGGTTGCAGATTTTGCAAACAGTAACTGGTTCCTTGCACAAGGAAACCGATTTTCATATTTAGAATCTGGGAACTAAATCGGTTGTTCTGGATTAGATTTTGCAATGTTGTTTTGCCTGCTTTGTTTTCATTAAGTTTTCCCATGAAATAAAAATACTAACTCACCTCTAAATCATCCTTTAAAACTGTTTAAAAAACTGTTAAAAAAAACTTATATAGTTAAAGTAGATATGTTTTTAGGTGAGTTGTATGTCTCTAGCATTTCCTAACATTCGTAGCAGTATTTATTATATGCTGTGCAGTGTGAAGTATATATTTGACTTCCACTTTACATTGTTTTAAAGCGTATGTTTAAGTAGCACTTTCAGTGGTAGATACTAGGAGCACAGAAGATGCTGTGCAATTGCTGTCTTGCTTGTTTTCTGTTTTTCTGCTCCTCCATCTGTTTGATTTACAAGCTGGAGGCCTGGAAGCTAAAAGGATGTGACAGACGGCCTGAAGGTTAGATCTAATCAGTCACAATAGACTGTGAGAAGGCCTTTTCCTTCCTCTTTGTTTCTTTATTACAAAGTACAGCCAAAAAGCCACCCCCATAATGAGACTGGCCACAAAGAAATGGAGCCGCTTCCTATATACTGTATATTCTAAATCTATTCCTCTACCCTCCATTTTCTTTTCCTGTCCCTTTTCTGCGTCTCGAAGATTAGCATTGTTCTAATTGATTCAAGTGATAGCGCAATGGGTAAGGCATAATAAAGTTGATGTGCAATATTTACCTTGACTTAATTCAAGAATGTTATGATGCTGGTTGACATGTCATCTTGTGGTGATTATGCGCCCTCATATTTTGATTTTGAATGCCTGGCATTGACTTCCTTAAAACAGTGTTTTAGACAATAGTGTAGTTGTGCAGCTTGTGTTATGTATATGGACAATAAAACAATGACGTTTCTGTGGAGAAAACAAAATACAGTTACTCTGACTAGACAACAGGCCTTGTCTTTCATAGTGAACTGGAATTCATGCAATAGGAATGGGAGATGGAACTGATCTGAAAAGAATTACAATTTGAACCATTTCAGGACTGTATCACAGTGTTTCTTCTCTTATTGTTTTAATCCCACATCTGGCATCCAACTCATTTCTTTGCCAAACGCTTCAGTTTATAGTATGCAGTGAGCAAGGGTTGTTACCACATCCCTTTCTCTTAAAATTATGTACTTTTCATTGAGATATTTCCTATTGTAATGGCTCTACCTTTTGTAATTTGCAGTATGTGCTTTAATTGGCTGTTCATTAAAGTGACAATTAAGTGATTTGCTTTCTAAATTTGGCAGTAGAATAGAACATTGTGATTTGTACAATACAACAAACACTTATTAATCAGCAGAGGATGCCTCTGAGCAAACAACAGAAAGTGTTTTCTTGAGCTGTAGTACACCTGAGTGTGATGAGATGTAACTAGCTTCTGTGGAATCTTTAGAAGTTCCTTACAAGTCAGTCTTTCTTGGTTTGATCCCTGTGTGACGGTTAAGATTGCTTTCCCACAGTATTACATGGGCAGCACCTTTTGAAATGCTTTCATTTCTGAGTAGTCTTTCTCAAGGAAACTCGGCGAATACTGAGAAATCAGATTACCAAAAGTTTCCTAGATTATCTATCATCACTAGGTGGTGCAAGCAATGAGTGCAGACTTGGTAGCAGTACGACAGGTTTATTTCCATTCCTATCCCACGAAGAAAAAAATAGTTGTATGTGTTTATTGGAGAAAAACTCAATAGGAAGCCTACTTTATCCTTTCAGTTTGTGTGGTGAAAAGCTTGTAGTGCTCAAAAGACCCTGATAACATAAAAACTGCAACTCTGTAACTCTTCTCCTGTATCAAACAGATGCAGTGTACCAGTATTGTTATTTTGGGTTAATTGTTACATTTTCCGAATGGTTAAGCATTTTGTTCTACTTTAAGTAGAAATCATAGCTCAAGCCATATTATCCTTTTCTATTAAATATTTCTGTTGATGCAAATTGCTTTTGTGGCTAAGGAAATTTACAGTTATGGTTATCAAAATCCTTTTTTGTCATTAAGTGCTTTTTTTCTGTCCCAGTTCTGCCCAAAATAGAGAAATTAATGTTATGAGTTGTCTTTGACTTAAAGTTGCAAGCAAGAGGAAGCAATTTGTCCCATGTAGTTTATGTAGTTAGTAGTGATTTGGTCGTAGTTCCCATCCACATGTTTCTTGCCAAAACCTTTACCCTTCAACATGGCTGGGTAGCTTGTTCCCCACTACTCTTTGTGTAAAAAGTGTTCCTGGCCCTTAGCTTTAAAAACACTTCGCTACACTTCTCTTAAGCTTTCATTTGGATCTTTTTAATGTTGATGTTGGTCCATAAGGTTCACTTTGTCAGTGTCTTTTTAAATATTTTAAATATTCAAGTCAATTATCTTCATAGTATTTTCTTTCAAGACTTATTTCCGGTCCCCTTAGAGAAGAACATTCCTTTCAACTTGGGATGGGAGCCTGATTTTGCTAGGATGTTCAGTTTTAAAGGGAGATGGAAAAATGTGAAATGGTTTTCTTATGGTGCAACGTTCTTTTATCCTATTGTAGGCCTTTGCATAGTTCACATATAAACCTAAAATAGTGAGTTTGTGTACTTCCAGTACTCTCCGACTTAAATTCTGATATGCATTCTTTGCCTCAAGCAGAAATAAAACCTTTCTTCTTACTTTCCCTGTTTTGCACTATTTATAGTTTGAAGCTTCATACACTTAAATTTTTAAAGTGTCTGGAATGAACTTTTGAGCCAATCAATTGAATCTTTGGAATCTTATAACAGTCTCATGCAAGAGATTCCACAGTCATTTGCAGTTGAATAATCCATTGTTTGTAGTGAACTTATATTAAGCATTATTTATGCATCTAATTAAAAACTAGTACATTTTCTTTCACTTTAAACCAGAAATATTTTGTTTTTGATTTTTGTTTCTCAGTAATGATACAATCTTTTTGGAAGTTATTCTTTGTCCGGAATGCAGTGAGTTATGATCTTCATGGCAAGCCATTTGACATTTCTTGGAACACTTATGCATTGCATGTAAAATGTTTTAATCGAGATTGGCTGGTTTTGTAGATATTTTGACTGTTTTAATGAAACCAGTCCTGTGCCTTTCATAATATGTCTGTCTTTAAGAGAGTGGATACATTTGAGAATATTATGGCCCCACGTAGGTATTTGGCAAGACAAGATCTGTGCGTAGTCTGTGAAACTGGGATGGTGTTAACCCACTTCACAGTTGAAATGATACCCTGTATGTGGTATTTACTTAAGTTTACATTTAAATAACTGCTAATCCCGGGCTTTCTCTGAATAGCTCAGGATTATTAACCTAGGCCACCATTTATTTCTGTAATTCTTACTTTAATTCCTCTGTATAAAGTTGTTTAGAAAAGCTCTACTGTGTGTACTCTGTATACAATAGATTTGACTCTGTTGTTGTCATTTCACAATTACCTGTTGTAAGCAGTTGAAGGAATTTTTGCTAATAGAAAATATGAAATGTCTGTCAGGCACACTGAGTTACCAAAGGGTTTATCTCAAGATGTCCCTGTAGAAAAGATTGGACCAGTTTTAGTGGACAGTTTTAGAAAATGAGTACCACACATTATGCATATTTCATATAAGTGAGGATAATACAAATTAACAGCTTTACTTCAAGAAGTAAAAACGTATAGAGTGATTTTTGGTTGTTCTGAGAATACAATATCTTGTTGAAGCAAGTGTAGTCTCGTATATTTCTAATCTCTTTTATTGACTCTTTTATAAACTTGAAATATAAATTGCATTTCAACACATATATACAGTATGTGTATATGGTTGAACTGAATCTTGGTTAAAATAGTGTTAATACACTGTTTGTAGTTCTTTAAACTAAGCAAATATTAGCTAATACTGCATTGTTCAATCTCAAATTTCTCACAGTTTATGTGACAAGGTGGTGCTTTAAATGGTATTTCAACTGGCTGAAAGCCAAAATGTCCAATAAAGACTTTTTATAAGAACCAGGTGATGTCACTGATTCCAGACATAGTTATAGTCCAGACTATTCCCTTAATGCTTTATACATAAAATTAATTTTATTTTGTAGCTCTCATCTGTATAATTGGTCACCCATGCTTATAGATGTATCTGTCGAAGTCCATAATTCCATGTTCACTGCTATCGAACTGATTTCTTTTTTTTTCCCTGTTGCAGAGCATAAAGTGATCATCGTAGGACTGGATAATGCTGGGAAAACAACAATCCTTTACCAGTTGTGAGTGGAACTTTAGGAAACTTTTATGACGAAACTGAAAAATCGCTTCTTTTGTGTTCTGTTTTGCTGCCTGTGGGTGATTAGATTTATAGCTGGAAGGGAGATATTCTGTATTTGTTTTTAGCCAGACAGTGCACTGCTATCTGCTTAACTCTCTGAAGTGCGCTCACTTATTCTCTATACTCAAAATCGGTTCCTGCTTACTTTAAGTCTTCATACTTTTTATATTGTACTTTTCATAGTCTGAAGGCATTGTACAGTAAAACAGGTATACACAAATTAAGACTATAAATTAAGCAGAATTGAAAGGTAGGTAAAGTGTTTTGAGACTGAATTTGAAAGTGCTGGTTGACATGCAAGGTCTGTTACATCCTGGGAGATCATTCCACAGTCCTGGAGTAACAGAAAAAAAAAAAGCATAGTCTCCCAATTTTTGTAGCCATCTGTGTTGGGAACTAACCGAAGGCCAGATTATGAACATTTAGATTTATAAGGAGTTAATATTTCGCTGATGTCGTCATAAGCCAAACCATTCATGCCCTTAAAAGGCATGCAGCAGTATTTTGAATAATATTCTGGGACCATTGTTTATAAGATCATCCACCTATTGACATTGCACCTTTTGATTTAAATGAAAAAATACCACAAATGTTTGCGCATGGGATAAATAAACTGATTTTTGGACTGATTTAAACCTCTTTTTCCTGGTTGAAGGGCCAACCAGCAGAAAGAGGTGCTCCAAATGTACCCATTTTGGAACCCCGACCATACTGTAATACATTTGTATGTTACATCTCTCAGTAGTAGATAGTTATCCCTTTTTGATCAAGGAATGATTATTAGATAAAGCTATCCTAATACCTCATGACTTGGATAGACTGTGAAAACGGCACGAATTGATACCAGCGTATCAAGGTAAATTGGAATGCCCAGTTGTTCCAAGGGAACTGATGTTACCATTTGACTGTATAATGTAGTTTAAGTGCGGATAAGTGTCTGCATAGGGAAGCCTTGACTAATAATGACTGTATTTGGTTGCTTGATGGAAAATCATGCACATTTTAATTTTTTTCTGAATGAATAATTTATTTTATACCATGCTTAATTCACTACATTTCTGTTGTGCTTTTCATCTCAATTGAACAAAAGGGTGCAAACGTGAACCCTACTGAATGTGAATGCTTATTTTTCAGAAGTTTATGGTGTCGATCACGCGGAAGCAGTTTTTGAATTGGCAAGGGCATTTAAACAAACCTTTGGGAATCTGTAAAGCGCTTCAATATGTCTCGACATGTTTTTTATGTCTACCATGTAGAGTCACTGATTTGCATTTTGGTAAGTTCTTTCCATCCCAAAGCACTTCAGGTATAAGAGCTGGCCCACTTCATCCATATCCTGGGTGCCATGCAGAAACCATTATGCACAGGAATCTTCACTGCACACTAGAACAGGTGGAACAATGAACAGTCATTGCCCATAAAATTGAACGAGATCTTTCAGTAGACCAGGGGATTCATGTCTAGAACAGAATTTAGGAAGGGCACGAGGGATATCACCTTTCAAGCAATGCTAAGGGATTTTTAATAACCTTTTCAAAACAAAAGTCAGGACCTCAGTTTAACATCTAATCTGAAGGAATATATATCGTACCTCCTATTGTCACAATGTCCATGGCTCAATGGGATGTTGGTTTGGAAATTCTAATCTAGAAAGAGTGCCAGCTAGTAGCCCACAAATGTCAATGCAACAGTCCCATCCCAGCACTGGCTAGGCCCAGCATTGCTTGTCTTCTGAGGTCTGATCAATGCAGGAGGTCGTAATGCTGCTTGTAAAGTGCAACAAAAAACCGAATTTAAGATGATTGATGTGTGTACAAGACCTGTTTTAATTATTTTTTTTACTGAACCCTTGTAAACCACATCCCTCTCACTAAAGACATTGACAAATGTAGGAGACGCAAAGAGCTACTGAGTTCTAGCATATCAAGCCCAGCTAAGAAACTGCTCCATAACCATTTAAAGTGCTTACTGTTTGCGTGGTTTCCATTTGTCATGTAAACTTCAGACGTATTTTTAATGAAAATCATATCTTTTACATTTTTTGTTATACCATTCCAATTGAAAATTGGCAGCGGTTGTCATGACTCAGCTTGGGGCTTCAACCTTACTGCAGAATTGGCTAGTGACATGGCGATCAGCCTTTGCTCAAGCTAGCACCTTTACCAAGTCAACAGGCATCCAGTTTTTTCTTTTAGTTGCGGACCAACAGTCCAGGTTTGTTAGAGCAGATATAGCCAAAGGTTCATAACTATGAAAAGTTACGGTGAGAGTGTGCAGCATTTATTTATTCATCTAACTTCCTAACTGATGTGCTAGTATTTGCTGTGCTGTTGCATCTCTAGGAAATTTTGAAGATGGTATGACACTCAGATGTGAAACATGCATTCCTGTAGGTTTTCCAGGGGTGTTGGTATAGTGTAGGTTTTAAACTGTTGAGAACATGCACATGCAGCCCTTCTGGCTTGTTTGGATGCTGGGAACTTATTGATTTCAGTATTGCATCCAGATTTTTCTAACAAAAACAGGATTCCACCTTCAATAACATAGTTGTAGTAACCTGTTAACCTGTAGTAACCACACTCCCATAATCTTTTTTGTACGAAAAGTAATTTCTGTTCCATTTTAAATGCATTTCCCTGTAGTTTTGGTTTGTTCACTGTAGTTCTTGTTTCACTGTTGAGTCCACTGGTTTGATTTTGTCAATGCCACTGAGGGTTTTGGGTTCTCACATAAGGTCCTCTTATAGTCTTCTCAATTCAAGACTAAAAAGGCTGTTTTTCTACTCTTGTCATTGTGGTGCACTTCTTATTATAAAGCATCTCATTTTTAGAAGGAGACAGGGAGGAAAAACAGGAAGCTATTATTTGCAAAACCTTCAGTTCAAATTCTTAAATGGAGTTCAGATTGCTAAAACAAATGTTTTGAAAGCCAACCTAGTAATTTGCTGGCACTGTGGGATTTAATTACCATATTTATGTTAAGTATTAATGCATGTTTTGCAAGTATTACCTTTTATGCATATGATTACCAGTTTTAATGTTTAATAGCTTTTTAAAAACTGTACTTGATTGTTTTGTCAGATTTTTTTTATCACCTCTGTTTCTTCATGGTATACTTTGTTCCAAAAAGATTAGTGTACCACACTAGAAAAAAATGCTTGCCACATTGCAGGGAACTGGATAACCCGCTTATATTTGTTTTGTATTTAGTTTAACCATTATTTAAAGTTCTTATCTCTGTTTTTAGTTGAATCATCGATGGCCAGATGGAAAATTCTGTAGAAGAACTACTTTCTGCAGAGAAAAACTAGTTGCTATGGAGTTACTAGCCATATTGCCTGCAATAATTGGACAAGTGTAGTGTGAACAATATGTAACCGAATGGCTTATAATTATAATTGGCATGTAGTATTCAAGTGTTAAACATGTTCCTATAAGGAATAAGGAATGTATTTGCCTCGGCTGTTGTACTTCAGTTTTTAAAGTGATGAAGAAATTAAGAGAATCAAATGAAGTCAGTATCTCAATAAGCTGTTAATATCAGCTTTGTGATAACATGGTAAACCTGGCTGACCACATCCCCTTTTAAATCATCACTGTAAAGAGTTGCAGAAAATATATGGGAAAAAATTTAGCCTCATCCACCAAAGAAAAGTTGGGGACTCAGTCAGCCATTTGGTACTCCAACAAAAATAACTGTCATTTTAAATGTTGTTGCAGTTGACTCATTAGTAGGTCTTAAATTATGTTGTTTTGGAAATTACAAAATTCCAAAAAGGTTCCATTGGATTACTAAAGATAGAATGCTTTACATAAATGTTTGATTTGTATTTTTATCAATTTGTCTTCTAGTTTGATGAATGAAGTTGTGCATACATCGCCTACAATAGGAAGTAATGTTGAAGAAATAGTGGTGAAGAATACCCATTTCCTGATGTGGGATATCGGCGGGCAGGAGTCACTGCGGTCATCATGGAGTACTTACTACTCTAACACTGAGGTACTGGTTCCTCATGATTTCTTTGGTTGGACAAGATACCTTTTGGTTTGCCACCTTTAGCTGCCTACTCCAGTATTTGTGTTCTATAAAAATATCATTAACATTGTAAAAGTTCATTCATTTTTAAGTTATGTTGTACTGAGTGTAAATTTGTCTACATGTGTTTAAAACTGGTTTTATTCTTGCTGCATGGGGGAAATAGTCACTGCAGCACCTTTTCTCCTGACATATACATGTTGTCTAGAAACAAAGGCGTTGTTAAATGTGGCACAATAACATAAATGTTTCAGACTAAGTCCAATCCTCAAACAACCTACTAATCACAAATTACAGATCAGGCACTTATTGGTAGCTTCAGTCCAGTATAAATTTGCTATTACATTCTAAGTTTGTAATTTGCAGTTGGTGGGGGGGTGTTTTTTGTGTTCTAGACTAAATTAGAAAACTGTGATTCATTTGGAGGTTTCATTTTTGTATAAAACATTCATTTTTGCAGTCTAGCATACATCATATGACACAGAACCGTGATTCTATTTGAGCAGAAGATCAGTGTAGGAGGAAGTCAGTCTGCCTACTGGCACAAGATACATTTTAAAGCTAGTAGCTCTTGTCCGAATAAACATTGAAAACTGGTACACCCATTTGTGGATAGTGCGATACACAATTAGTGGTCATATGCAATTCTAAGAAAGTCAATAGTCTTGTTTGAAAGCAGTAATTATGTACATAGTCATTAGCAATTACTGAAAACACTACCTTTACAGCAGTGTCAGTTTTCAGAACATCATACTTGTGAAAGCCAATGCAGTTCAAGTTGGGTAAATTGGATTTTCAATGTACATATCTTTGACATACTGTATTTCAAGGAACAAGTAATAGGTTTATTCCATGCTGAAAAGAGAAGAAAGTAAACACAATGTTTCAGCTGTGGAGCCTTATTCGGGTGTGAAATCATACCTGAAACGTTGTTTGCTTTCTTCTCTTTTCTGCATGGAATAAACCTATTACTTGTTCCTTTACAGCTACACAGACACAGCTACCCACCTGAACTACTTCAGACTGTATTTAACACTAGTTAGAATCACTCATTTGAAATGAATAAAGTGGATAAATACTGGTTTGCAAAACATAATGGAAAGAGTCCATTAATAATATTTACTAAATAAATTAAAGTTACTGGAATTCCAATACTGTAGAAGTAGCACAGAATGAAAAAGTACAAATGTATTATATAATTATTAGATCTGATATTTTAAAGTTGGTTTTGATCATTTAATAAGTTGGTTGCCGTTTCATACATTCATCCTAGAAGAAATTGTGCACACTGTTCCAAAGGTCAGGGTTATTTTACTAGTGAAGGAACTGAAGAGATAATGTATGTGTAAATAAGACATTGTATGAATTTCTGTCTGCCACATTCACAGTGGTTATGCTTGCGATAAACAATTTGTAATGTTGGTGGCAGTGTTTTCTGAAATTCTATAGTTTGAATAATCCCAAATAGATGTTGTTAGAAGGCAGAACAAAAGTTTTGCTAAGCAGCATTTTACTTGAAGCCTAGCAGCTGCTGCTTTCATTCAGAGGACAAGTGACATTAAACCTGGAGGGTTAAAAGGTTAGTGGAACAAAGGTCTATCAGTGGGAAAAGGTCAGGTCTGATTTGAATGATGTTCAGAAGGGTGAAGAAAGCAGACGAGCAGTCATTGCTGCATTGGGACAGGGTAGATTGTTCAAACTTCAACAAATTCCTTGTTCACATGCCATATTTAGGTCACATTCCTAGTGGTGTTGAATACATGGAGTGCCTTGCAAAATTATTAATTCCCTTCCATAGAAGTTCCATTTTGTTATATATGCATTTTTGAAGTAAATATTTAAATCAAAGCTTGAGTGCTCTGGCTGAATGCTTTTATGAGTGGAAGTTAAATTCTGACAGGCTACCATGAAAGTTCAATAGGTAAAATGTTGATTGAGTTTTCACCTTTCTTTACTATACCTGACATATACTTGATTAGGTCAGGTATATAAAGTAACTTTCACAAATCACACAGTTAATTGGGCTATTTATACAATGATAGTGGTTCTCATGATTCTAAATAAATACACTTATCTATGCAAAGGTCTTCAGTCAGGTACTGAATTTCAAGCAAAATTCAACCATGAAGGCAGCTTTCAGAACATCTCAGATAAGGTTGTAGAAAGGCATAGATCACTAGACGAGTGTAAGAAATTTAAAAGATCTATGGACTTTCTTTTTGAATATGGTAAAGCTGATTTTAGTGGAAGCTATATCATACTACCAAGACAATGCCTAGATTAGGTTGTCTCTCTAAATGCCCAGTCTGGAAAGGTTAGGGATGCCACAGTAAGGTCAATGGCAACTTTGAATAAGCTTTGAATGTTCAGTGGGTGAGATGGGAGAAAGTATCCAAGGGTCAAGCATATCATGGTAGCAGTACAAAACTGAGTCTCACTTCCTGCAATCAGGATGAAGCAAAGTAAGCAGGGCTTGAATTGTGGCGCAGGATTGTGGGTATGCCACACAATTTTAGTTTTTCTTGCAAATCCAGCTTTTATAATGCGAGAATTTCCCACATGCATTTATTGGCAAGCCCCAAGTAGAATTATCCTAAATGCATGATTCAGATAGTGACTTTACACTATTTGTGGGGTTGTGTTGCACATCTCGCATTTATTATAGGTGGACGAATAGGACACTTTGGTTTGGAATCGGTTAATGTTTGTTCAGTGCAAAAAATGGAATACCTAACTTGTAAACTCGATCAAAAACGGAGCATTGGCTGAAAAAGTCTACTTCTGGAACCTGACCCTGAAAAATTGAAAGACATGGTGAAGAGAAAGTGACCAAAGATATGTTTTAGGTGAGTTGATAAAAATATACTCAGAATATGGCTCAGAATGGAAGTTGGTTAGTTTGCACCATGTTTAGTAGTGTAGGGTTTACTAGCTGATGTTACAAAATGTGTACATAAATTAGACATTAGAATGATATTGCTCATGACACAGCACTCAAAAGTGTGAGGCAAAATCAACTATTAATACCATGGCTGGTGCAAATGCAGTTGCAAGCTGCACAATCGAATCATGAGGAAGAGGTTAAAGGGCTACTTAAATTGGTGTACTTTGTTGCAGAAAACCAATTTACTAATACAAATTTGGTTGAACCTGTGAGATTCATGAAATAAATGGAATGACCTCCTGTGAAGAATCTTAAGATTGACAGATTGAACTAAGGAAGCTATCTGAATGCCAAACTTTTGTAAGAAATGCATCAAGAGTTAGATGCCGCTGTAGGGACGTCCTGTGTTTTCCTAAGTATTGGATGAGTCCACTGATATAAGTAACAGTAAGTGGCTCATTACCTATGTAAAGGTGTATATACACAGAAGCAAGGTTTTCTGGTTAATTCACTTCAGAATTAACCAGATTGCACTGCACAACTCACCTGCTTGCCTTGTGGAAAAAGTTCCAACAAGACTTGAGGGCAATTGTTTTCAGCAACTCTGCTAGGATAAACAACAAGCTTAATGTGTTGCAGAAAGAACTAGAGGAGACTCCAGCACATACAGTGAGGTGGTTGTCAATTCAAAGTTCTGTGTCAGTTGTGTGCAGGTCACTAAAATACTTGAGATGTGCTAGAACACAGACCTGCTTCCAGCACTCGGGTCTAATTTCAACATGGCACTCATAAATTTTAAAGAAATGAGGAGGACAGAGAGAATAGGAAAAATCTGAGGGAGATGGGAGAGAGACTGAGGAGAACAACAATGTATGTAGTTGAGAAAGAGTGAGCACCTGACGCAGATGGAGAGTAGAAAGCATGAATAAGGAACAAAAATTGTCCTTCTCAGTTTTACTATCTATCTTTAATGGAGAGGAGGTTAGCCCTAAAAGACAGATCAGCAAAAGGTAGGACTGTATTTGCAATGAACATATGAAGTTCAGGTTGTGTACCAATTATTTCAATACACTCATTTCATTATAATAATAATAATAATAATAATAATTGTTTACACTTATATAGCGCTTTTTCTAGACACTCCACTCAAAAGCGCTTTACAGGTAATGGGGACTCCCCTCCACCACCACCAATGTGCAGCATCCACCTGGCCATAGTGAGCCAGAATGCTTACCACACATCAGTGGGGAGGAGAGCAGAGTAATGAAGCCAATTCATAGATGGGGATTATTAGGAGGCCATGATTGGGAAGGACCAATGGGAAATTTGGCCAGGACGCCTGGGTTACACCCGTACTCTTTTCGAGAAACACCCTCGGATTTTTAATGACCACAGAGAGTCAGGACCTCTCATCCAAAGGACGGTGCCTGTTTACAGTATAGTGTCCCCGTCACTATACTGGGGTATTAGAACCCACTTGGACCACAGGGTGAGCGCCCCCTGCTGGCCCCACTAACACATCTTCCATTGTTCTGCTATTATTCCCCACCCCAAGATGGTTAAATCCCCCATTAGCTTCATTTAAAGGGGGAATGCCCCCTCATTTTCAAAAATGAATTTCAAGCCCTGGTAAGTGATAATGAGACCAAATGGAAGTTTTGGTTTTCAATTTTAGTGTAAGCATAGCACGTCACCTAGTCAACACCATGTGTACTATCCTGCATGATGGTGGCAGCATTTTTATAGGGTTGTTTCTTTTCAGGGACTGCAAACCTGTTCATATTGCAGTCAAAATGCATTGAGCAAACTGCAGGCAAATCCTCAAGGAAGTCCGTACTCAACACTACACCAAGTGGCTTAACCAGGAAAAAGTGAATGCCCTTGAATATCTTAGTCAAAGTCACGTCTTCAAATTTGTTAATTTGTTAGGTAATTCCCCACCAATCTGACAGACCTTGAGCAAGTTTGCAAAGAAAAAATGAGTCAGAATTGCACCATTCTTATCTATAGAGATAGTCTTAACCAAAAATACTTTCAGCTGTTAATTGCTGCCAGATGTACATGCACAAAAAAATCACTTGTTGGTAACAGTAATGTTGGTAATTCAACAAAACAGTAAATCATTGGGGTTAAATACTATTAAATAGTTAAATACTGTTACCAGGCACTGTATAAATCAGAAATATGGTTTCTATGTAAATAGCCTTTTTGGGGTAAAGAGTGGTATAATATATGTAATATAGATTTATGTAATATTACTGTAAACTTCTCTTGGGCATTTTAAATAATTGTATAATTATTCATATAATTTTATGTATCCCGCATCTTCAGAGACTGTGCATGGTATCTACTTTGTTTCAGAAAACTATTACGTGAACCAGTTGTTTATTGTAATTTGTTTTGTTTTTTAGTTCATCATCTTAGTTGTAGACAGCACAGATAGAGAGCGACTTTCTATCACAAAGGAAGAATTGTACAGAATGCTGGCTCACGAGGTATGTGCTTTAATTTTTGTTTACAACTCCAAAAATGTAATATGGTTGCCCTGAACTGCAAATACTACTTATAATTAATAATTATAATTAATTTAATAATAATAATTGCTTACACTTATATAGTGCTTTTCTGGACACGCCCCTCAAAGCGCTTTACATGTAATGGGGACTCCCCTCCACCACAACCAACGTGCAGCATCCACCTGGATGATGCGACGGCAGTCATAGTGCGCCAGAACGCTCACCACACATCAGCGATCAGTGGGGAGGAGAGCAGAGTAATGAAGCCAATTCATAGATGGGGATTATTATTATGATTGGTAATTGCCAATGGGAAATTTGGCCAGGAAACCAGGGTTACACCCCTACTCTTTTTGAGAAACGATTTGGGATTTTTAATGACCACAGAGAGTCAGGACCTCTCATCCGAAGAACGGTGCCTGTTTACAGTATAGTGTCCCCATCGCTATACTGGGGCATCAGGACCCACATGGACCACAGGGTGAGCACCCCCTGCTGGCTCCACTAACACCTCTTCCATCAGCAACCTTAGTTTTTCCCAGGAGGTCTCCCATCCAGGTTCACACGTGCTTAGCTTCAGTGGGTTGCCAGTTGTGAGTTGTAGGGTGATATGGCTGCTGGCATAGCTTACATAGCTAGCTGTCACCAAAATTATTCTAGAAGTATGCTTTAAATAATTGAATTAAATGACTGATTTCTGACAGTTTTAACAATTTATTCCGGTGACGGTGATACAAATTAAGCTTTTTCTGGCCTTTTATTCTCATTTTTTGTCAGGATCTCCGAAAAGCGGCTGTTCTGATATTTGCGAACAAACAAGACATGAAGAGCTGCATGTCTGCTGCTGAGATATCTAAATACCTCACTCTTAGCTCCATCAAAGACCACCCTTGGCACATTCAATCTTGCTGTGCTCTTACAGGAGAAGGGTAAGTATGCATGAATACACTTACAGTATTGGAGTGATTGTGAGAAACATAACTGACAAATCTAAGGTTTTGCTTTGAGGATTTAGGCATTTTGTATTATGCATTTAAGTGCTTAAGTAGGGATTCCCAAGGTTTTCAAAATAGTATGCACGGGTTATTTTATACCTACGTACAGTCAACTCTGGGCTTGAATGAAGCTGTAGCTTTTCTGCTGTAGCCTCTGAGAAGCCGTCATGGCTTTTGAAATGCTTTGCATGCGAATTAAACGGGATTCTTGATCATTCAGGTATCAAAAATTGATCAGTTTTGCATTATCAAAAAGTTTGTGTGGGAGCTAGCATTCTATTGCTCAATGTCCCTTCAAGCTATATATCAACTTATACATATATGAAAAGCTCCAAAAGCAGTACAAAATAATTTGAAAATGGGCCAGTAGAGATAATGATCGATTGTATTTTATATGGTGCCTTTTAAAAGGCTTTTCAAAGTGCTTTACAGTTTGAAAAAAAAACACTCAAGGAGAGAAGACCACAGGATTAACCTAATTACAACAACAGTTTGGAATGCAGTAGGGATGTAAAGGGACAAACAGAACAAATTAAGTAAAAGCCCTTCTAAAGAATGTTTTGAGTCTTCATGCATTCTAAAGATAGACTCACCTTTTTCAAATGGTTAGGGATGGAATGAATGGATCAAGCTATTTCAGCTTATTTTTAAATTCTGGATAGTGTACGGTAAGTGTCCACCTTCTTGTAATAGCAATCCTAAATTAGTTCAGATGTAATCAATCTCCAGCAAAATCACACCACGTTAATTGGACTGCTTCTGTCTTAAATGGGTGGTGCTTCATAAACACTGTAATTACCAGAAACGTGGCTGGTGCAACCAAAGAGTTCATCAGTAGAAAAGGGTGGAAAGTGTTAGACTGGTTAAGTCAATCTTCAGATTTAGTCAAATTGCGCATGTGTTTTGCATGTTGAAGAAACAAATTTAAGCCAAAACCCTGAAGGATAGACAAAACCTCAAAGCAGCTTCAGCATAGTCTTAGCAAAAAACCTCAAATTATTACTCCACGTTTAAGCTTAGTAGGTCACAGTTTTTGGCCCCAAACTGATATGTAACCAAATTGTCTGAAATGTCCTAGTACTTATTACATGAAATCATTAGGATGAACACAGTACATTTGGTTTTAGTATGATCAAATATATGTATAAAAAAGACAAATTAATAAACTCTACTTAAATTAATCTCATTACAGATACAAGTTTGGACAGGGCATTGTATATTAAGCATCTAAAGAATTTTAGGATTTAACTTAAACGCAAAAACAACAGGTGCCAAAAAAATACAGGAGCAGTGATATTTTATTGAAGGGGCATGAAATAGGTAAACTCCTAATGATGATTAACATTATTAACATTGTTGATCAACAGAGGTTTACTATGAAATTCAAAGGTGTGTTATAAAAAAAAAAACTATACCTCTGTGACATATGCTGTAACCCCCTCCCATTAGAGCCTGGGCATGCATGTGTGTATGTGCCAATTTGCCGGTCTCTAAGATTCAGGTTGACGCCTGAAGAAGGCTCCATGGCCAAAACGTGTTTTCTTTCTTATTTTTTCAGCATGGAATAAACCTATTACTTGACAATTAGTTATAGACCTCTTTCATACATTTAGTGCTTTCCAATCTGTGTTCTTGTTGGATACGAGGGCTTTAGTTTTAACTCTTACTGTAACAACATTCTTACCAGCATTGACCTAGATGCCTAGTCTAGTTTTTGTTATTTAGCAGATAATCGATTTGTCCTCAAAACAAGTTATCCAAATGTTTAATCCTGTACATTTTTGCTATCCATCAGCTTTAGAGGAAAAGACACAGTCCTATAACTGGTGGCTGACCTCTGTCTTAATCTTTTTTATTTTTGTCTTCTATAACATAGAGTGAAATGTTTGGCATTTTAAGCTTATTCTTTTGGCGGCCCCTTCAATGGATAAGCCTACTTGCACATACTGTTGCTGCATAAGTGTGTCCTCACTCATTATTCCACTACAGGTTGCCTGTTGCAGTGGTACTGTACTGTACTGGAATTACCTTCAGTGACTGCTGCTTAAACTGCAGTCTCTTTTCGCAATTGAAGAGAAATCTTATTTTACTTTGCAAATGTGTTCTTAGTATTAGCTGTTTGTAATACCCAGCCTTTGCATTAAAAAAAAAAAGCCTTTGCATTACTTTGTGATTTGCCATTATTTTTATGTGGTGTACAAATACCCATTTAGATTTGTTTGATCAAATTTACACTTCACCTTGGAGAATTGCAGTTATGTGCATATAATCGTTTGCATCCAAATCGGATGAAATCTGGCAAGAAGGCAGTAATTATTTCCAGCTTGCATATGTTCTGTTCCTTGTATTTTCTTTCCATGAATAACTCCTGTCTGGGGTATAAAAATTGCTTAACCTTTTGATTTCACTCAATGTGATATCAGTGTTAGACACAATTGATATAAAGTTGCTTAATGTGCACTAAATCAAAAGCACTAACTTGGGGCTGATATGTGGTAGAATGGTCACTTCTAATTTCAGTAGTGACTGATAATGTATATTTATGTATCATCAACCTTATTCCCAATTGCCTAAAAATTGTCAAAAACATGAATCAATTTCTCTAGTTCTGCTTAATTTTACTAGTTTTAATTGCCACAAGGTAGAAGTTTTGTAATTCATGATAGAAAGTAGCTTTTCTGGGGAAACATGAAAATCCCATAGGAAAAAGGGTGTCCAAAGGTCAATTCACTACATTTTTTCCCCCATTTTATTTCTTTCAGCCTGTGCCAAGGCTTGGAATGGATGACCTCCAGAGCTGGACTAAGATAACTGTTGCACAGTGCCCAAGACAGACTGCCTATTGATTCTACCTTGACAGACAGTGTTCTGGTACTTGTAGCTGCAGGATTGTAGCTACTTTTAATTTATCAACATGAACCTCTCCAAGCAACACTTGAATGAAGTGATGCTCCACTGACTTTATATGACCATTTTTTTATGCTGGATGGACATTCTAACATACTTCTATTTTCCCACAAGTGTTAATCAAAGGGTGGTGCTCCTGGTCAAATCATGTTGCTGTTACTTTTCACAGCCTGTGATACTGAACTGTTACATTACATCTGATTTGGAATTCAGGCATTATCTGTTTTAGACAGCTTGTGTTAACCATTGTGTGCTTCCTTTGACATCTTTTTGAAGATATTTGTATTAGAATGCATTATAATTTTGAATTGCTGTACTGAAGCCACTCAGTGTGGGGGATGTTATAGAAGCTTTTCATTGATAAACTGCTCTATGGTAATATGTATATTTTTATTTATTTTTTTTATTTAATATAAACACTCACTGGAGAGGGGCTGTGTAAGTATTGCTTTGTTTTATATGCTCATTGAAAAGAAAGTTTTATTAAAGTCCCAGAAAAATAAAGAAATTACAGTGACATTCAGTTCATTCTCGAAACCTACAAGCCATTGAAAGTGAGCATGGGGCCTCTCTGGATGTGTGTTTGAATTTTCAAAGGAGAAGATTGGACACCCGTGCCTTCATAATGACTACATATGTTTTGTACCCTGGGATCTTGAAGTCGTTTTTTAATGAATGGAGCAATTTCTATACATCCAGAATTAATTTGCAGGAGATGTTACTTTGGTCGAACAGAGGAAGAACAGATAAGAGGCACCGTTATGAAAATACCACACGTGGTAGCCTTTTGTTTTTCTCCACGTGGTGAAGTTTGGTTCTTACTACCCCCATGTCTATTAAAAGACAGCACTGAGTTGTTTCAAACTTAAACCTTGAATACCATTTTTGTGCACAGAAAATCTCGCATCCAGTTGTTGCCACTGATATGCAGCCATTGGTACTTTAAGTATCTTTCCAATTTGTTTCTCAATTTCCTTCTTTAATTCTGATGTTTCTATGGGACTTTGATGATACCTGCTTCTCTCTACAGTCAGGCTCCTCAGATGAAGCAGTACTTCATTGTACGGTTACTCTAAATATTAAGCATATAAAAAAACAGTAAAAGCTGTTTTATGGAGAGATAGAAATTGCCTGAAGTGTAACTCTAAAGAAATTGAGAAATCAAGTTATTGCAACCTTTGGCACCAAAGCAAAAGCTCAAGGTTATAAAGAAGTCAGCGGTGCTGCTTACAACATAGTTTTAAGTGGGGTAAAAATGTCTTAAAATTAGTTATTTTATCTTTTTGCATTTACTGTATGTCAGCTGTTTTATATGCAGGCGCTTGTTTTTTTTCTGCCATTGAATAGGTAATTTAATTGCAGCAAACATTTGTCTAAGGAGACATGGAAGTGGTGAGAAATTCTCCTCCAGTCCAGTTTTTAACCCAGTCAGAAAACATTTTGACACCAATACCACAGTGATCGCAGCTTGGATCGTTGGTTACTATGGAAACATGCACGACTACATAAGCAGCCTCTTTTCAGTTTGAGCTCAGTGAGCATTTATTCATTGTAAATGTTAGTTTATATGATGTGCACCTTAGAAGAATCTCTTTCAGTCTTTCACAACCTGCTTAGTTTGTATAACATTGCTTTTAAACTTCTGATTTCCTCACTGTTCCTGTTTGCAGTGAAGTCCTGTTTTGGGTGAAGATATCATGCGATATCTGTGGGATAGGAGAAATTAGGAGAAGAGGCTATGAAGAACCTCAATGTGTTGGCCTTGTAGCAGAGGTCTCTTCCAGGAGACAATCAAGTATTGCCTCCAGATTTGTTTTGCACAGTAAAATGTTTGGACAGTAAAGTCTCTGTTCTTTAAGTGTTTCAGTGGTTTGCAAATAAGCATAGACCACTAGCTTAACATTCATTTTTACAAAGCCATTTTCTAAATTTGAAAATGTTGTACATTTTTGTTGTACATGTTTTTAATATAACAATACAATGAGCATTTGTGCAATAAGATTAGTTTGAAAACATTTTTTTAAAAAAAATGCATTAGTTTAACCCTCATTATATTACAGGTGTGAAGTTGACCTTCTATGTATGCTCTTTGAGTTTTTAGAAACAAAAATCAATTGGGATTTTGTAAATGAGTACATTCCACAGTGAGTCCATGGTTACAGTACATGTGACTTGTTAAATTGAAGGTATAGTATCATTCTGAGCGTTGCCAAAATCCACTGTCCACTCGAGACTTCTAAACTATTGAAATTCAAAAGAAGTCAGTAAAAGGATGTGTTTGGAGGTTTGAGGGTTCAAGCTGTTTTCATTTACACTGATTTTGTTCTCCTGTTCAACAGATTATTGATTATTTTTGCAGATGGATATTAAACTGAAATATTAATTTTCTAATGTAAAATAAACTGTAGTAGTGCCTTCTCCTGGGTACAGACCCCCTACCTTTGCATTTGTTTTTCCCTGTCCTAATTCTACGCTTTCTGAAAATGGACAAATAAAAAAAGGAAACGTCTATAGCCCTTAACACTACCACCTGAATTTGTAATATTCTGCTAAAGCACAAAGTGGTGATGTTTAGATTTCTAGACTCATGTTATTATTGTAGATATTTGGCTTTAATCTTTAGTAATTTGTAATTTAAATAATGCATATTCTGAAGCTTATAGTGGAGTCTCTTTAATAGATCAGTTTGCTGTATACATTTTCTCTCTTAAATCTATAAATTTTATTTTTCCTATATTTATTCTGTAACGGGAAGAAACTGGGTTTCCTACACCTCTTGGCCTACAAAATGCAGGTTGAAATACTAATACTTTCATGAAAATTGAGACGGTATGTTCATGCTGTCTTGCAAGTAGGAAAGTACACAGAAATCCTGTTAACTGTTTTAAATTCCTAATTTAAGGGTTTAAAAATGTGATTTTCCGTTTAGTTCCCAGAAAAGAGGGAGCTGCCTTTTTAGCTAGAGCTTTTTACTGCAGTACTTTCAACTGGGAAACCTTCAGTATATTTGTATCTTTGTCACAGGGCTTGATCTTCCCCCATAACCAGTCCACAATCAAAAAGAATACACGAAAGGTCCTACTTTATATGTAATGCTGCAGGCAAAGGTACGTCAAGAAACGGCACCTATAACAAAAGGGCTAGAACATCTCCCTCTCTGGATCCCACAACAGAACTGCCTCAGCTAAGCTCAACCTCTGCCTTCTATTGTGGAGACTCTACTACTGTAACCCCCCCACAGTAAACCTGAAGGTACGTACCCAGCTCAATAATGATCTTACTCCAAACATAATATATGAAACATATATACAGAAAAAGTAATTTTTAAATTATATTTTCCTAAAAGTATAGAACGTAATACTCCCAAAATACTAGTTACTAAAAAAAATGGGATTCTAGCTCTCCTCCAGTCCAGACAAGGGCACTTTGGAAATGGGCTGGTGGCTGTTTCCCGGGGTTTAAATTTGGCCCTAATGCTGAATGTGGTTTTGGTTGTTTAAGCCATGTAAGTAATGAGTACCTGCAGCTACAACAGTGCAACAGTACTAAATGTTTTTTTTTTCTGTTGTTTTACAGGCCTGAAACTCACTTGAGGCTGTGGAATTGGTCCCATCGCAATCTTCATTTCAAAACTGACGAAAAAGTACTTGCAGCATGAGAAATTCATTAGGAACTTCTAGATACAATCATTGTTTTATTACAGGAAAAAACATGAAGGTTCAACTTACTGATAAGTGTTATATGATGCAGTTTATTTCAGTACTTATCCATGACACGTAAAATAAGAGATTGCAGTACTGCTCTTCCACCCCTGATGTTTAGAACTGGGTGCTTTTTAAATAAGAGATCACTGACAAAGGATCAGACAGTATATGAAATTTAATTTCAATCCTTGAATGTTACAGCTGAGAGCTTTACACCTCATGCAAGTTATTTCATTGCTCATTTGGTTGTGAGTCATCAGTTTTATTTCTATTAAATATCTGCCACCAGATTTCTTTGAAATGTTAAACCAAAACGCTATATTGAGTGCACTCAGTACAAACTAATGCACTGAATAACTCAAACTTCATGTTTAAAAAAATAGCTTATTTTTCTGGAATTAGACTGTTGTGCTGAATATTGGCATTCCAACAGAAAATAGTTGCGTTTTTTAAATATAGACAAAAATTGTCAAATATATTTTAGAAGACCCTTTTTCCTTATATTTTCCATTCTAGTCCCTGCGGGGGAGAAGCATCTTCATATCATGATGTGAAGCTTGACTGTAGGGATGTGTTGACTGAGAAATGTGTTATGTTGGGCCTGTGCCATATGTAATGATTGGTATTTAGACCAGAAAGTTCCGAATTGGTCTTGGCTGATTGGAACAGCTTTTGCCACTTAGTTACATTTTTTAATTCCATGTGGGATACGAAATGGGTTTGTCACTCTGCCATACAGGCCAGCTTTGTGGAGTGAAGGGGATATTGTTGACTTGTGGACATTTTCTTCCATCTCAGCCATTGAACACTGTGGTTGTCATTGCATGTCTTGCACTGTTTGGAGGCACAGCTTGGTCAATGCACCTTCCATTTCTGTAATGATTAAAAAGTAAATTGTCTTTGATATTTTTGTTATATTATCCTTACCTTTGCTTTCAATGATTATATCCTTTTTCCTGCTGAGAAAGCATCAATTTCCCTTCGGGATCAATTAAGTCTTATCTTAGTCTTCATGGTTGAATCCATCCATACATATATTTTCTAACCACTTTATCCAATGCAGGTTAGCGAAAAAGATGCAGCCTGTCCTAGCAACACCGGGTGCAAAGCAGGGTACACTTTGGATGGGACACAAGAACATCAAAGGGCACACATACTGTGTGTTACACAGACACAAACACACACTCACAACAGGGCCAGTTTTCTAAGAAGCCAGTTAACCTACCAGTATGCCCTTTGGACTTTAGGAGGAAACTGGGGCATCTGGAAGAAACCCACATGAAACACAGGAAGAATATACAGTACAAACTCCACACAGATAACATCCCAGGTCTGGAATTGAACCTAAGGCCTCAGTGCCTCATTGATGAAAACTACGAAAGTTAATGTCCTTGAGTAGCCCAGGCAAAGTCCAGAAGCAATCTCTAAGCAATTTGAGAAAGTTTGAACAACTCACCAAGAAGAATGGGCAACAATTGCACCAAGCCAATGTGCAAAATTGGTAGAGAAGTCACAAAATGATTAATGTGGCTCTAATTCCTAACAGAGACGTTCCACCAAATATTGAGCTTACAGCTCTGAATTTTATGTAATTAACACATTTCATTTTTTCTCTTTAGATTTTACTGTACCTTACCACTAGATGTATTCAGTTTGAGAACTCATGTTTTGCATAAAATACTCATTAAAAAAATGTGTAGGCTTTGTTTTGTAATTTCACAACATGCAATATTGTGAGCAGCGTCAGAATATTTTTGCAAGGCAATTTATTGTGATATTGCTAGAAACATTTTGGACTTTCAACTTTTCACTGATAACACAAATCAGAGAGATAAAAGTGAATTGAAATTGGACTGGCAAGGTTGAAAATCATTCAGAGAAAAACTGGTTTCTTACTGTGGGTCAAAGAAGTTCTAGGTTGGATTGATTTCTGAATATGGTTCGTAACACTGGAATCCAGGCAATATGAAAGGACTCTTCTTTGCATTCTTAGGTAGGTTAATCAAAAACAAGCCATGCAAATGATTTACATTTTAATGTTGAGATTTTGCCAGTAGCAGGTCTGCTTCTTTGTTTCTTCTGGTCTCTTTTAATGAAATTTAAAGACAGTTGGAGTAATCCTGTTCTGAACTTATGAAAGCGTGATATTTTAGGTTAACAGGAAAATTATGGCCGTCTTTGACCTCTAGTCTTAGTTTTTGCAATCTAGTCTTATAAATCTTGACTAAAAGGGAATATAAAGAGGTTATAGTAGAGTGCTCATTAACGTAGACATGTCTGCTAAACTATTTTTGTATTGCAGTTCCTTGCAAGTTTCATCCCCTTTCCAGTGATGTTTTATTTTGGTGAATTACAAATAATCCCATGTTTAATCAAAACCTGAATACTCAACCTGAATACCTTTATTTAAGAAAGAAGAAAAATTTCAGCAAAAAACAAACTAATCAAACTAAAACTCCTACATTTAGCTTCTTTCACCCATAAAAGGGTTCATTTTGAGTAGTAAGGTTTGATTAAAATATTCACTTTACAAATATGTATACATCATAATCGATATTAACTGTGCTTATATTGATTGTTTTTATTTCTTTCAAGGTTTGTTATTATCTCAAGATGGCTCTTTTTATAACCCCAATCCGGAGGGCACTCTTTTGTTCAGTAGATATATTCCAGAAGGAACAACAGTATGTCTTCAGTTCTGGTACAAGGTGGATGGTAGAAATGCCAGAAAACTGCAAGTCAGGAAATTGTCCACTGGGCAGTCCAGTCAGTTGTGGAGTGTGGAAGGTGGCCTTGGAAATACCTGGAGAAAACATCTGATTACAATAAATAACACGGACAACGAGAGTGTGCAAGTGAGCCTAGCTAATATTGACATAGTACACAGATATTTCCAATAAGGAGGTTCTATGACAAGAGTTGGCTTTAGCATTGATTGTTATCACCAACATACTGTACATCATAAGATCAAAATGTTCAAATAAAAGAAGACCATGAAACCAACTGAGACATTTGGGATGAGTGTAACCTATTGATACAGAAAACCCATCAAGTAGCTTCTTGTAGAATTTCGGTAATTCAGTTTTATCACACCAATAACAGGCAGTTTCGTTGTTTGTCTGAAAGTTCCTTTGAAGTTTTTGAGAACCTGAATCACATTTACACAACAACTTCTCTGTTCAAGTAAAAAACTTGTTTATGATACTGCTAGGGTGTACCTTTCACTCCAGGTGTTTTCCACAATATTTTTATGATTTATTATAGGGTAGGTATATAATAATCAAATGTTCATTAATCAAGGTGTTAGCAATTATTGCCTTGTGTACATCCGCATGTAAAGGAAAAAATGATTTTGTTTTCGTAGGCAATTAAGAGAGTTATAAAGAATTCAGAAGACACACAGAGCTTAGTAGCTTTTACAACCTAGTCAGTGATTTTTCTTAATATGCTGACTGTTCATAATGCTGTCACTTGTTGTCTTTATCTCTTCCAAAATAAATAGGTTAATGAAACACATTAAACTATCCATAGTTCACTAGTCACATTCTGTACAGTGTAGAAGATGGTTTATTTCACTATATATGAGTTTTACTCCCATATGAGCAACACGATCATAACTATCTGTTCATATAGTATCTTCTATATATGTCTTCTGTTTAAATCATGTTATCATGGGAAATTATGTTCATTGTCTAAACAATTAAAAATAGATCATAAATAGTTATGAGTTATGA